GTACATGGTTACCAGTTTTTATGCGTTTTTGCTGTGCAGCGCTATAGCAGCGTTATAGCGCTGCTATAGCCAGCAAAAACGCATATTATTGAGAGGGTGTCTGTCTCTGTGTGTTCGGAAAGCGAGTGCATTTTGTCACCCACTTTCATCTCAGCAACCAGGAAAGCTGGGGGGGTTGAAACTCTGGATATATGCTTCTACCCCGTGTATCATTCTCTCTCGTTTTGAGTCCTTTCCCCATACGCGCCTAGACCCTGCATACGGGACCCCCAAATAAATATGTTGGCGAGAAACGATTTCGCGAACTAGGCAAAGTAGAAAACTGAAACTTTGCAGGAATATTCTCTATGCACATGCGAGATAAAAATTTTAAACTTAGCTCTCTAGCTCCCCAAGCACATCCTCAAGCAGCTCCTCAACCCAAAAATCGTTAGCAACTCGGACCTGAACCGCGATTGTATATGCAAATGAACATGGATTTTTTGAAAAACGACCGTTCGAGCAATACTTTCAATTTTTAATGAAGTAAAAATTTGCATGTTTTCAAAAAATCGTTCGCAGCTCGGACCTCAACCGCAATCGCATATGTAAATAAACATGGATTTTTTGACGAAGGACTGCTCGAGCAATACCTCCACTTTTTAGTGAACTGGAAATTTGCATTCCTCATTTTTTTCACAAAGCGACCATTTACCAAAAAAACGACGGACTTCATGCAAAAAAGCGGTAGTCGTGCATCTGGATGTCCATGCGGCCCTACAATGCACCACCTTCGTCCCAACTGATGCCCTTCCTCCTGTGTGATGGAAAGGATTAAAGTACGACCAATATGAGCCCGACTGTCAGGCTACAACGTAGGGATCATTCTTGCTAATAGCGATCTGCGAATTTAGTGCAAAAACGCATGATCGCACCGGGGAGCCTGGAGCATTCCAGCCTGGTTTGCATGAACCTCGGTCTTTTTTTCGGAAAATATTCGTCTTTTGAAAAAATAAAAAATGCTTTTGAAAAACGCGAGTTCCCAACTCACTAAAAAGTTGAAATATAACTCGAGCGCTCGTTTGTAAAAAAATCCAAGCATGCAGATGAACTAATGTTCATTTGCACATTTGGATAAGGGCGGTCGTTTGCTGCAAAACGCACTCGTTTCTGATTTTTCGGTAAAGCTGAATATTTTTCATGCTCATCTGCAGGGAATTTTACCTGCAAACATAATTAAGACCGCACTTGAAAGTAGAATATTCCAGCGAATTTTCAGCCTCTCAATTTATCCGGTAAGCGAAATATCCATTTCGCTATAAATATCTTTGAGTGCCCTAAACTGTGACGCAAGTGCAAATCGGCACTCATTTCAGGTATACGATTTCCCATTTGAGTGGCGTACATGCTAACAAAATTTCAGTCGCTGTTTTCCTGCGAGTTTTCGAGTTAGCACAGTAACAAGTTGCAAACTTTGACGTGATCGTACGCGCTGCACAAGCGTGCACGAAAGCTGAATTTGAATCTTTATCTGGCGCATACACAGAGAATATTCCTGCAAAGTTTCAGCTTTGTACCTAGCCAGGTTCGCAAAATCGTTTCTCGCCAAGGAAATTTGCATGTTTTCTTCGGGGAGCCCGTACGCGGAGTCTAGGCGCATGTGGAGAAGTTCTTGAGACATGAGGGTGACACACGGGGTAGGAATATATACTCGAAGTTTTAGCCTACCAATTTTCCTGGTTGCTGAAATGAAAGTGGGTGACAGAATGCACTCTCTTCTGAACACAGACACAAAGACAGCCTCTCGACAATGTGCTTTTTTGCTGGCTGCTATAGTGCTGCACAGCAAAAACGCATAAAAATGGAAGTGACTTATTCCATGTCCTTTCATCCAACAGCGCACATAAGCGGCGTAATTCATCGTCAGTTCTTACGTGGACTAGGAACATTCGCGAGTTTAGCTTCCTATTTTGGTCGCTAAATTGAAAGGATAATAAATTTTGAATACAGCCACACATACACACACAAATACGAACGTATGTATACATATATACAAACACGTGGAAATACACAAATGCATACCGAGAATCACTCGCTGATATGCGTTTCTTCATTCCATGAAACACCCAAAAATGCACAAAAGTGCAAAAAAAACAGAAGAATGTAAGGTTTGTTGGAACACAGTACTCGCCAGCAAGCGTTAGTCACAGCATTTATGAAACAATAAGCCGCTATCCGGACAATCCGCAACCTTTACGTAATGGAAAATTAAGGCCAAAACAGAAGCGTAGTTTAAGTCGCTCCAAAAACACTGCGTTTCACCACAAAATCTCAATTTTTAGATTGTTAATTCGAAAAATTACAGGCAACAGAGTACGGAAAAATTGTGTCTGGGGCCAAGCGAGTCATTGGTTTCTACGGCAGTTACGTCAGTCTAAGAAAAAACGAACGAATTCTCTTGTATGTCTCTGAATTCGAAGAAAAGTTTTTGTGATGATGTTTAGCATCAAGAAAACCCAGTCTGGAATGCATCAGGCTTGCCGGTGCGATCATGCTTTTTTACACTAAACTCGCCGATCGCTAATGGCAGGGACGATCGCCGCGCTGTAGCCTAGGACTTAGGCTCGCATTGGCCATGCTTTGGCTTCTTCCGACTTGAAGAGAAAGGGTGTCGACTGGGATGAAAGTGTTGAATAATAGGACCGCATAGAACTCCTGGTACATGGTTATCAGTTTTTTATGCGTTTTTGCATATATGCAAATTGCAAAAACGCATATTGGGAAGAGGCTGTCTG